GTTCGTTTGTCCATTCCTTCATTCATGCATTGCTCTGTCCATCCATTTATTCGTTTCTCTGCACGTCTGTTCGCCTGTTTCTTTGCGTGTTGTTTGGTCGTGTTCGTCCGTCCGTTCATTTGCACATCTGTTCGTCCGTAAGTTTTCTGTCCAGTTACCGTCTCATAATGCCTGGATAATGATTTTAGTTCTGTACGAGTGGCAGAGCAGACTAGAAGGGTTGGACAGAGAGCTGTCAATCAAACTGCTCATTAGCCACGCCCACACAGTTCTCAAACAAGTCTATCAGCAGCTTTAAGCCATGTTTTATCATAATTTTTCATTCAAGCGTTGCTGGATGTTTAATATAACACTTTAACGTTATTTTACTCTGTGGTCCCTGAGACTTTAATGAAGGTGGTCTCTGATCTGAAAGTCTCTTCTGTATAAACACTGCAGAAACATATAAAAGCAGAAGTGAGTAAAAGGTTAGAAACAGTAAGAAAGCCACTCTCAGGTTCTCTGACTGTGTGTCTGCTTGTAGGGATTTAAGTGTGTGTCACAGCAGCTCATCAGCTCAGCAAAGCTCCTATAGCTGTCAAACACACAAACACACACACACACACACACACGCTCCCAGCGTCCTATTACTGTTGACACACACAGGCTGCAGAGAGCAGCGCTCTGGATGTTGGTGGGAGATTGAAGAGAGAAAGCTCCTGTGACCCCACCACCTGTTTCCTCACTGCAACCCAGCACCAACCGCCACCTCTGCACACACACACACACGCACACACACCTAATTGGACTCACATCCGCTTCGTATGAGTGCGTGTGCAAACACACAGAGAGAAGCGCTCACATACTGACACACAGAAGGACATAAAGGCGTCCATGCAGTAACAACAGAACATCACACACAACAACGGTGCACGGGGCCGGTGTGAGCATGAACGCCTGATGTGGCGCCATTGGAGAAGCACACACACACACACACACACACACACACACACTTTTCCTCACTAAAGAATTCTCAACATGTTCATTCCAGACATTTGAATGATGAGCTGCACTGAACCCATGCTGAGTGCTTGGCCCCCTACATTGCCAACTCTATTGTCTCTCTCTTCTCTGCTTGTTTCTGTCTCTTGTTCTTTTCTTTTCTTGTCCTCTCTTGTTTTCCTCCCTCTGTCTCCCTCTCTCTCTCTAACCCTCCTCTATTTCTCTCCTATCCCCTCTCTCACTCTCTCTTTCTCATCTCTCTCTCTCTCTTGCTTTTGCTCTTTCTATACCTCTCTGCTCTCTCTCTCTTTCCCTCCTTTTCTTGTCTTCTCTTGTATAACCCCCTCTCTCTCTCTCTCTTTCTAACGCTTCTCTATTTCTGTCTGTCGTCCCCGTCTTTCTCTCCTGTCTCCTCTCTCTGTCACTTGCTTTTACTTTCTCTCTTTCTATCCTTCTCTGCTCTCTCACTCTGTCTTTCTCTCCTTGTCTTGCCCTCTCTTCTCCCCTTCCTCACTCTTCTCTGTTCTCTCTCTCTCTTTTTCTTTGTCTCCTCCTCTGTACTCTCTCTCTCTCACACATACACACACGCTTTCACTCTGTCTCTCTATCCCCAATTTTTTTTTCTCTTTTCTTGCTATGCCTTCTCTCCTATCTCTCCTTCCAATCCTCTCTCTCGTGCCTCTCTTTTTTTCTTCTCTCTCTCTCTCTGTAAACAAATTGGTTTTCCCGTCTTGGGGACGATGGTAATGGCAGGTTGTGGTGAACAGGCGGGTTATTTAATAAATGCTGGGAATGTGCCTGACAAAGAGAGAGAGAGAGAGAGAGAGGAGAGAGAGAGATAGAGACAGAAAGAGAGAGATAGAGACAGAAAGAGAGAAGAGAGGAAAGAGATAGAGACAGAAAGAGAGAGGAGAGAGAGAGATAGAGACAGAAAGAGAGGAGAGAGAGAGAGAAACAGAAAGAGAGAAGAGAGGAAAGAGAGGAGAGAGAGAGATAGAGACAGAAAGAGAGGAGAGAGAGAGAGAAACAGAAAGAGAGAAGAGAGGAAAGAGAGAGAGAAAGAGACAGAGACAGAAAGAGAGAGAGAGAGGAGAGAGAGAGAGAGGGAAAGAGAGAAAGAGAGGAGAGAGAGATAGAGAGAGAAGAGAGAGAGAGAGAGAGAAGCACCAGTTTGGAATTCCACAATATAAACGAGTTCAGTTTCAGATTAATGTATAAAATGACTGTAATGCGCGGCTCCTGTGTAACTTCATATGAAATGTTTCATGCGTCCACGACTATAAACAGAGGCTTCCATAATAATGGAGAAAGTCGATGAACATTGAAAATAAAGTTATAATAAAATGTTATATTCGGTATATTCAGTGGCTAAATCCTGAAGCAAACAAAAAAAGACAAAAACATTCTGTAAGTAGATAATCAGAGGACATTAATAAAAATACTTAAAATATTCAATAAAGCATAAAGAAATATCTTCTTATACTTTTAAGCCTAAACCTTCTAGTTCATAATATTTAAACATACATACTGTATATGTAACCTCTGTGTATAAAACAAAAAAAAATATAAACAAGCAAACTTTTGAACGACAGACAGGCCTCGTTCCCGCCTGGCCACAGAAGGCAGCGTGTCTCTGATTTGAGTGCAGCCCCCTGGAGACGGCACGCTCAATCACGCTGATTTATTTGTCATAAGTGTGTGAGGATTCCTCGAGGAGAGCTGCGTGTGGAGCCCGAAAAAAAAAGAAAAACAAAAAAGAGAGAGAGAAAATAAAAAAACTCCCACCAGTGTCATATAATCAAGCCAATCAAGTCATTCAATCAAGTGGAGATTTGCGCACAGGCCCGTTCAGGCGCGGTGATTAGGAGCGGCGTGTGTCACGACTCGGCTTTATTTACACCAAAACTCACAAATTCAGCCATTAACAGCCCCAGTCACGGCCTGAACCGACAAACAGCAGCACAGCCTCGACATGAGCACCTCAGACACGTCAGCATCTCATCATATCATCACTGCCCTCGTTAAACCTCGTAGCTCGGAAATGGAAACTTTATAGGATGAGAAAAAACATTCTTAACTTTAGATGAGACACATTTAGCTCTTTTTTCAGTTAAATATAGTTAAATATAGAAGAAAATAAAACAAATAACACCTTAATTCAGCCTTTGCATGATGTCATTCTCTCCTCTGCCATTTTCTGGGTGTAGATTTTGTATGCTAATGACTGCTGCTATCATTGGCTGTCCTGTTTACACTGCTAGATACAGTCACATGAGCATGTGCCAGCCAAGCATGTCATTACACAGCAAAGTTTAATGCAAAAACCTTGTGATTCACTTTTGTAAGTATGCTAACTATGCTAATTTCTGCTAGTCTGGTAATGGGGTTTTCAATATTATGTTAGCATCCACCTTAAAGTGGTTCATTATTAAATTAGTTGCATTTTATAGCAGCTCTCTAGACTAAACGCAGACATTTGAACTTCAAAACAGACCTTAAACAAACTAAGCATGGCGGCCCAGTTAGCAACCTTTGTCTGGCCCACCAGAAACTGGAATAAAATGATACTGAAAGAAACAAATAGAATGTATACGATCAAATCATAGATCACAAGTCTCGAGACTTTATTTAGACTTGTTTAGCTTTAGCTTCAGCTTCATGTCCAACGTATTCTAGTGAAGGCAGAATATGACCCAGTTAACCCACAGAAACACTGTTAGCATCAACACTGAAGTGTCTGCTGAATCAGTTACAACAAATCAGTGTTCTATCTGTCAGAGACGTCTATATATGAAACGGTAGCTGCGTTCCGAAGCCTAGGCTGCATTTCTTGGCCGCTACCTCATAGAAAGCCATTCCAAAGTAAAAGACCCTTCGCATACAGCCTAGAAATCCAGCCTATGTTTTGAGTGATTTCGAGGACAGATGTATCCTTCCAGGCCTTTGGTTACCCACAGTTCTCTGTGCATGAATGACGCAAAGAAGAAATTAATTCAATGAATTAAAGCATTTGTTTATATATCGAATATCATCCATATATCGCATTTTATTTAGAAGTATTTGTATATATGTAGCTTGTTGTACTACATAAGAACATCTCCTCCATTTCCATGAAGAAATGAAAAAGCAACCAACACAATGCAACAGGCTCCATTTTCACTGCAATTGCAAGAGGCGGGACCTTTCTGGTGACGTCACCATGCAGCCTCGTTAGGACTGCTCTATTTGTGTGACCAATAGGCTACTAAGGAGGAGTTTTCATAGGACAGCCCTACTGAGGACCCGCCCTACCTTGGCTGCAGCCTAAGCTTTGGAACGCAGCTCTTACCTGCGGAGGCAGCAGTATGAAGGCTGGCTAAGTGGGCATGGTTATTAGAGTAGGGTGAGACTCAAGCCGGACCACTTTGAGGACTGCTAGCATGCAAAAACTCTCTGCGTGTCTGCCGTTTAAACAACTACAGAAAAAGAACCATTGGTTTGTGTACAGTTCAAACCCCTCCAAGACTTTCCTCTATACGTCAACGTACGCAAACTCAAAACCTGGTGCTGAACATGACGAAGGTCACCAATGGGATAAATCCAGGTTAGAGAGTCGCTACAGAAGTGATAACGAATTACTCGTCAATGAAAGCTGCACTGTAGAGGCTCAGACACGCCACTCAGCAGGAGGTGCGGAGAACAAAACAGCGCAACATCAACAAGCTACACAATCTGCTTCCAGGCATTTTCAGAAGCTGTATTCAGCTACGCATCAACAGAGCATCACACAGCACTTCAGCCGTCCCGTCCCAATCCCCTCCCCTCCCCTCACGCGCCTCCGCTCTCTAACACATCTGCAATTTGGTCTTGACTCAGCATCGTGGAGCTGCGAACGCGAGTGTGTTCCTGGAGATCTGAAGCTGTTCCTGTCGCTCTGTGCCCCCGGGCTGCGTCTCCTCAGCGGGACAGGATTCGGGGAGGGGTGGCACCCGAGGTGGCAGCAAAAAAAAAAAAAAATTGAGAAAAGCAAAGCCGCTTACCTTTCCGAACTGCTCGAAATACTGCTTCACGTCCTCCACGACTGTGTTCGCCGATAGTCCGCCCACAAATATTTTCTTTGTTCTCGTGACCATCTGGAGAGACGAGAGAAAACGAGAGACATCAGTACATAAGCTAATATCATCACAAGATACATGCAAAAAAGACAGATGGCAGCTTTGGAAAAAAGGGAAAATATCAGACCAGCAATCAATAGGCTTCCTTTAAAAACCACCTACTTTGACAGGAAGGGGCCTTTTGATTGACATGTAAACCAATCGATCACAGATAAGGGCTGCATGATATGGACCATTGTGATTATTTTGCTTAATTGCAATAGTCCAAATCATGCAGCCCATATGTGATGTGTCATGCAATTACGGATGGCACTAATCAGATACCAGGTATCGGTCTCTGGCCGATATTAACAGAAAATGTTGAATTGGATATTGGAAAAATAATGAATCCGATCCAATTTTGCCACAGATAACAATGCCAACATGCTTCTATTCAGCCCACAATGGCCCACACCAAATAGCTTGTTTCACGTATCGTCGTTATCAAAACAAAACCTCATATTTCCGAAATGGTAACTTTACAGGAGAAGGAAAAAACATACTTTACTTTTAATGTAAGTCAATGGAACCAGACAGACATTTACATACAATATAAAGGCCAACAGGTATTTTCAAATTATTAAAAATAGAGATATGAGGTTTCATTCTCCCAGCAGCAAAATGCTTTTTAATATATGCGAATCAGCTGGCATTTTCAAACGGTATAAAACTAAAACAATAGAGCTGATAGGATAGCATTCATGCTTGCAATATTTAAATATTTGTGACATGCTACGTAATGTAATATGACTTTGTAATATAACAGTTTTACTCCTGCAAATTATTCCTCTGAAGGAAAACCTTGTTATTCCTCTAAAATAAGACATTTATATTACATCAATTTATATACATTTATATTACATCAACTTTATAATATTTATACTTTTAATGTGTATTGACATATTGTATAATATTGTTTATCTTATTTTAAATACATTTTACAGAAAAAATATTGGATCAGTATCGATATCGGCTGATCCTCAAGGTTCCAACATCGGTATCGGAAAAGAAAAAGCAGTACGAACATACTGACGAACTAAAAATGTGGGGAAAGAAATGGGGTAACACTTTACGTAAACTCTGCTACATAACACTGACATAATCATGCCATAAACATGTCACAGCAGGAGTCATATGCTGTTATGAGTTGTCATGACAAACTGTCCAGTAATATAACAAGGTCATGTTATCATTACTGGTAATTGTCATACTGTTTGATGTCATGACTAATATCACAAGCTCATTTGTGTTAAAAATAATTTAGTTAGCAGTCACAACATCAAACATTATGATATCTGTCATGATAATTAACAGTAATGGTAACATAACACTGTTATATTAGTGAACATGATCTGTTATGGGTATGTCAATGTTACGTAGAGGGGTTCAAATAAAGTGTAAGCTAAGACTGGCATTATTTTGCCCCAAATGTGCTTTTGTTGGATGTATGTGTGTGTATATACATATATATATATATATATATATATATATATATATATATATATATACACACACACTACTAGCAACTGCTAGCTAGTGGCTAGCACTCTAGCCAGCACTTGATAAAGTTTGTTTTCCGTCAAACAGATAAGAAACAGAAAACATGAGTGTTTACGTAGCCAATCACAGCGTCAGATTCTGATAGCTGTGGCTATCTTAGCGTACAATATCAATATAGTTAAACATCAGAAGGTCTCTGTGGGCGGAGCTTCTGAGGCTGAGACCAGTAATAGAGACCCATACACAGAGTGAATAAAGACTGAATGTGCTTGTGCGGAGCGTGAGCGGCGACTGCTCCTGGAGTTCCCCGCTTTCTCGCCCACACACACTACCAAGCAGAGCGAGTGAGTCATTCAAGCAGCTCGCTGGGACCAAAGGCCTGAGCTGCAGCGCTAAAGGTCTCTCTCTGAAGCTGCTTTTTGCTTTGAGATGAACCGACACGCTGTTGTCTTAACGAAAGCTTTAATTGAAGGCAAGTCTGAAACTACAAGTGCTTTATTATCTATACTGTATTCATGCTCCTTCACCACGGCAGCTTTGCATGCAGAAGCTTTATGCATGTTTTATGTATTTATGGATAAGAATCTACAAATGTGTACTTTTAGTTGTATTCTGCTCTTCTATCATTACTTTATACTTAGAATTCATAGCTTAAATACCAAACGGATGGTGTTTTACTTCTCTTGTACAATGAAAACAAAGGCATTTTACTATTCTTTGCTCTATTCCTTTCCATCCATTCAATTCCATTCCATTCCTAAGGTATCCTATCCCATTCTAGTCTATTCTATTGTCATATCCTCTACTGTCCTGCCCTATCCTATTCTATGCTATCCTATCCCATTCTATTCTATTGTCACGTCATGTCCTGCCCTATCCTATCCTATCCTATCCTACACTTTCCTGTCCTATCCTATCCTGTTCTATTCTGTCATGTCCTCTCCTGTCCTGCCCTCTCCTATCCTATCCTATCTTGTCCTATCCTATTGTCATTTCACATCATGTCCTGTCCTGTCCTGTCCTGCCATATCCTATCCTATTCTATCCTATCCCATTCTATTCTATTGTCATGTCCTGCCCTGTGCTGCCATATCCTATCCCATTCCATCATGTTTCATCACATTCTATCCACTGGAACATGAATGAATGAAATGGAAGAGAACAGAATAGGACAGTATGGAATGGAATATCATAGGATAACAAAGGATAGGAGAGTCAAGAGAGAATATGATTAGACAGTACAGGTGAGGAAAGAAATTGAATTGGAATATAATAGTACAGAACAGAACAGAGAAAAATTCTATTCTATTCTATTCCATTCTATTCTATTCTCTCAGTCTCTCAGTGCTCGGCTGAAACATTCACCATTTTCTGCTGTTTAAGCTTTTATTGCAAATAATGCTGCTTAAATGCACTTTAATAGTCACTGCACAGCCACATCAAAACAACTTGCAGTGGGGGGAGCGCAACCCCACAACCCCATAAACACACACACACACACACACTCACAGTGGGCACCATTAGAGCACCTTTTCCACCCTGTTAAACCTCTGGCATGTTTATTTGTTCGGCAACACGTTCTGGTACTTTCTATCAGCCATCAAAATGCGCCACACTTAAGACAATAAAGAGCACAAACGCAGACCCTTTCCCTCCTCCAAACACAATTAGGCAGCACGGGGGGAAAGAATCAGAGCACATTAAAGCCTCAATTAAATCCACAGCGCAAAATATATGGAGCATTAGAAGTACGCAGAGGAAAAAAGGGCAAAATATGAAGCTAAGTGTATCAGAGAGAGAGAGAGAGAGAGAGAGAGAGAGAGAGAGAGAGAGAGAGAGAGACATTGGAGGACAGATGTACATATGATTACAGCTCTCCAAGACAAGTAGGTGTGTATGTTTGTGTTTATGTATCCACTAACATGTATATAAACACAAACATACTTACTCATACAGATTCTCTCTTACACGGCTTGAAAATGAAAACATATACAGACTGCCACTCAACTAAAAGCGTATGTAATAACAACGCGCAATATGTAAGTATACATATATATATATATGTAATCCCCTATTTGCAATACGTCCTATATATGTTTTTATAATACAGCATGTAAAAATAAGACCTGTACATATAGGTACCAATATGTAATAATAAGTCCCACATGCATTATATATGTAGTATATATGTGCAATATGTATCATATGTGTTTTATATAAGCACTTACTTGTAATAATAATAATAATAATAATAAAAAGAAATGTTTTTTGTTCTTTCAATTAAAAAAAGAGAAACTTGCAGCACAAACTCAGAAGCCTGTGTGGGCATGTGTATCCTTGCACATCCAGGTGCCAGCAGAGTGGACAGCCTCGCCCATTCAGTTTGCATGTGAGGTCACAGCATTTGTATGGAACCCAGTCAGATGCAAATCTGCTTGGCCGTCCAGAGAGAGAGTGAGGCCTCGTCCGGATCTCACCCCGTCACCGAGGTTATCAGCCCTGTCTTCGGTCACACGCCCGCGATAAAGATGCCGTGCACTCGTTTATCACCATCCTTCACTTCTATCAGCCAGGGCCAGAACATCCCACACAAGGCGGTGTATTAATGCTTTACCTTCTATAAATTAAAGTGTACAAATAAGCCCAGATTATATTAATCTCGTGAGAATCAACGTTGATAAAAATGCTATTATATTCTGCTGAGTTTCTTAAGTACAAATGCAGTCGAAGAAGTGCTGGCTTGTGTTCTCTGTGGCGAAAATCAAGCAAATATGCACCCCGACCATTAAATCATGCAAAACCTACAGAAAGAAACTTTGATTTTACGCAGAAACGTTGACTGTAGGCCTTGAACTGCCATGTTAACGACAACACTATGAAAGTGTATTCACTTAAGACAGCTAGATGGATGGTTAGTGCAGGGGTCGCGACCTAAATGTTAGGAAGAGCCATTTTGTCCTTTCAACAAAAATCATACCACCTTGGGAGACACAACATTTTATCATTTTACCATTTTGGCTGTAAAAATGTCTCAGTATGCGCTAATGTACTAATATAAGATAAAAAATATAAATGAAAACTCAGACTTTGCACTGCTTTAAGCTTTAGAGAGCCTTTTCTCGCATCTCCGACAGGAAACTTTTCCTCAAAAGTAGAATAGTTTCTTGTAAAATGTCTCTCAACGTTCGACTTTTTACAGGGCTGAAGTCGCTTCTCATTCACCAGCTCCTTGTTTGAATTTTCTCACTCCACCTTAAATGGTGCCTGAGGTGCCACAATGTAACTGCTGCACCGTTTAAGGTGGAACGGGAAGCTGGCTTAGTGTTTGACAGTTTCTCATTGCAGATTAAACGTATCAGGAAACCAGCTGGAGTGCTTATAAATGCAAGCGAGTCCGTAATTCTCTGAATTATCAATGTCCGTCTTAAACATTTCTCTTTGCCTATTCATTAACTACTAGCTAGGCAAGATTGTTGTCT